CACAATATCAATTGCCAAAAGGTACTAATTGCACCCATTCTACTCTGTTTTAATTAAAAACAAAAGATTGTATTTTGTTAAATATTTTAATCATAAATTCATATATAAGAAAATACTTGTTCTCTGTTCTTTCCAGAGAAAAAAATCATAAAGCAGTTCACTTCTGTGTCTCTCAAATTCCATTTTCTGGGAATGACTGAAGATTGTGTAGGAGGCTTATTTTAGGTTATTTAGAGATTCATGTACTTGCCAAAGTTCAATACTGATTTTGCAGAATCACCGAAGACAAGCACATTCAGAGAGTAAACCTTTAAACAGATTTCATTGGCAAGAGCTAGAAGTATCTTTGGTAAATAATTTTCTCTATGACTTTACTAAAAAAAATAGTATCTCCTGATTCCAAAAGGACTTGGAAACTGTTCCCACTGTTCTGTTTCAATAGTGAGGTGGGTGGGACCCATTTATGGAAAGTGGTGTGAGGTCACATAGAATTAATGAAAGGAAACATTTTTTCCTCCCTTTGAACTTACAAAGTCATTGTGCCTCCTCTTGAGGATCACCTGTTCACAATGGCCTTTGAGGAGCTCCTGGATAAAGTTGGTGGCCTGGGAAAATTTCAGATCCTTCAGATGGTTTTATTTTTTCCCTTTTTGATGCTCGGAATCTGTCAGACGCTGTTGGAGAATTTCACTGCAGCCATTCCTGGTCATGGCTGCTGGGTCCACATCTTGGATAATGACACTGTCTCTGATAATGACACTGGGATCCTTAGCCCTGATGTCCTCCTAAGAATCTCCATCCCATTGGATTCAAACTTGAAGCCAGAAGAATGTCATCGCTTCCTTCTTCCCCAGTGGCAGCTCCTTCACCTGAACGGGGCCCTCCCCAACATGACTCACCTGGACATAGAGCCCTGTGTGGATGGCTGGGTGTATGATCAAAGCTCTTTCCACTCTACCATCGTGACTGAGGTAAACACCCCATTTACCTTTTGTGAGTACATGATCTGTGTGTTTAGAATAACATAAAATAAACAAGGTTCAAGTCTCCAGTTACTGTGTAGATTGCATAGCCAGCTTTCTTTCATTGTTTCAGCAAAAAGTGATTGCTTTTCTTTTTAATTGCCAAGTAATTACATTACAGTAGAGGACAGTGGAATCAGCCAGTGAGACATGAAATTTACTATCACAAACCGTTCAATGTAAGATGAAGGCTGATGATTAGACAAATAAGGACTTGATATAATGTGTGAAAAATTATTCTTAGTCACTTGTTATCAGCCTAGTTGCAAATTGGAAATACTGTATTAATTAATACCAAACTTCATGCCCTGCCTACTTGATAGAGAAACTTATCAGGGTGTATTCCACTCTAAGTGTGAAATCCAGGCATCAGTATAAAAAATCAACCTCAATATTTTCAATGTGGGGCAAAGATTGAGAACGACTGAAGTATGCAGTTCTAAGTGAATATAAAGTTCGACTCTAATATAACTTAGAAGATTTAGTTGAAAATTTCTAGAGAAAGCCATGCTTAAGCTAAGACTTGAATGATATAGATGAATATATCTAGTAATAGAAGCCAGAGAGTGTGCTCCCTAAGGGTTACTGGAGTGAGTGAACATATAAGATGGTGTGAATCTCTGTTGTGCTGGTTTCCTTCTCTTCCAGTGGGACCTAGTATGTGATTATCAGTCACAGAAACCAGTGGTTCAGTTCCTAGTCATGGCTGGAATGCTGGTGGGAGGCTTCGTATATGGCCATCTCTCAGACAGGTGAGTGTCTCCAGATCACTGCTGTCCTTCCTCTGTGGACTTTTCACAGTTTATGGTTAATTGTTTAATAAAGAAGTCTTTATTGAGTTTCAATATGCAATTTATTCTGTTTTGGGTTGCCTTGGCTCCCAGGGAGCTATAGATGGAAATGTAGAATTAAACTCATTGTGATGAATGCAATTTTGTTGTCACATAGCTCTGTCTTGGACACAGAAATGACATTTCCATAAGATATGGGGGGCATTTCAGAGCAGTATTTAGAGGTGAAGTACCATGATTCTTAATTTAGCAAGATGAGAAGGAATTACCTATGGGAAGGGAGGGGAGGGTTGTTCAAGACAGGAGATTCAGCCTGTTCAAAAGACATGGATATGGTGAACAGCACTGTAGGCCTTTGCCTTGGTTTCTGTGTTAAGTGACTCCTGGACTCTGATTAAATTCCTCTGTGTTCCCAGACTGATCATTATGTTATCAAGTATGCCCCACTGTAATTAGTAGGTATTTTCATAAAACCTGGGTGCATTGTGAGATGGCACTATATTGTATTAAGAAATAATTGTGATTATAATCTGGACCTCTGGTCTTGTGAAAAAAGGCTCTTCAGTGGTAATACTTGCAAACATATAAGGTAATTAATCTATAGACCTCATAATCTGTGATGTGAGATGTTTGGGTTATCCTTGCCTGACTATACCCATCCTGAAGTAGAGACAACCATAGCAGCCACACATTCAAGTCTTTCAGAGAAGAATTGGGAGACTTAAAGTATCCCTTACCATCTATAAACCTAGCATCATTTAATCTTTCAGTTGAAAATTGTGAACTCAATGTATCACTCTGAGTTCAATTTGTAAAATATTTCAGGGTTAGAGTGCTCATATTGACCAGTTTTCAGACTGAGCTCTTTATGGTGATTCACAATAAAATGCTGATTGATCAGTTTAGGGGGGCAGAAAGTGATAAATGTTTTAAATTTCTTTATGTGGAAAAGGGGTATGACAGAACATAAGAGTTGAAAATTTGGTGAAGAAAAGGGAGAATGATAGCTAAGCTAAAGACTTTGAACCAAACATAGGTATAAAGCTTCTGGACATTGACCTTGACAATAAGGCACAAGTAATGAAAGCAAAAATAGACAAATGAGATTATGTCAGTCTATAATGCTTCTGCACAGCAAAGGAAATTATCAACAAAATGAAATGGAAACATACCAAATGGGAAAAATATTTGCCTGCCTCTTATTTGATAGAGTTAATATCCAATTATACAGGAAAACTACTACACCTAATAGAAAAACAACCAATAATCTGGCTCAAAAATGGCACAGAAGCTCAATAGGTATTTCTCCATAGAAGTCATAGAAATAGTTAACAAGTATATGAAAAGATGCTTAACATCATTAATCAACAGGGAAATACGATTCAAAACCACAATGAGATATACCCTTATGCTAATTTGGGTGGTTATTATATTAAAAAAAACAGTGTCAGGGAGCTATTTGCTTATATTTTCCCTAGGAGTTTTACTGTTTCAGGTCTAATTTAAGTCTTTAATCAGTTCTGAGTGAATTTGTAAATAGTGTCAATAGGGGTCAAATCTCATTCTTCTACATGTTATCATCTCATTTTCCCAACATCATTATTGAGGGGACTGTCTTTTCCCCTTTAAGTATTATTGGTTCCTTTATCAAATATGATATATGAAGCACTAGTTTCTGGAATCTTGTTTCTGTTCTTTTGGTTTATGTGCCTATTTTTTATGTCATTACCATACTGTTTTGATCACTACTGTTTTATAATATAGTTTGAAATCAGAAAATGTGATGCTCCTATCATGGTTCTTTGTTAGGATTGCTTTGGCTTTTGGGGATTATTTGTGATGTCAGATAAATTTTAGGATAGTTTTTCCTATTTCTGTGAAAAATGCCATTGGAATTTTAACAGGGATGTCATATAATTTATGGATGGCTTTGCATAGCATGGGCATTTTAACAATACTAACTTTTCCAATCCATAAGCATGGGTTCTCTTTCCATTTTTTGGTGGGGAGGAGGTAATTAGGTATGTATGTATGTATGTATGTATGTATGTATGTATGTATTTATAGAAGAGGTATTGGGGATTGAACCCAGGACCTCATTCATGCTAAGCATGCACTCTACCACTACCACTTGAGCTATACCCTCC